TTAACTTCAATCGCTATCGTACGTTCGATTTCTCTTTTGTACACATTCACACCTCTTTCTCTCTCGTAGGATATTTGCCGTTCGCAACTAAAAATTTTTGATCCCACGACAGTCGCGGGATATGCGGGCAAAGACTACGCCTGCATAAATTGATTAATCCATTCATACTTTCAACTCACCCTCCCCCGCCTCTTGTCCATTCATCGCGCTTATGCGCCATTATAAATCTGACTCCAGACGACGCGTTCGCTTATCAAGTATTCACGGGTATTACTAAAACGTTTTGAATACATTCTGCGGATGTATTTCTTGAATTAACGTAACTTTTCGTTTGTGACTATGCTGTGTGAGAGAGGTAGAAACTACAACTCTTATTTATATTGAATCGACTATATGTTTTACATTGTTGCTACTTAATTATATATACTAATTTTTACATTTCGCGATTTCGTGCAGTATGAACAGATTGCCACCTTATTACGACATGCATTCATTTGAATTAACGACGCGTCGCTCCTTAATATTCTTCCTGCGAAGAGGCGAAATCCAACCGGCGGTAACGCCATACTTCCCGAGATTGTAATGACGTCGTTTCCGTGTCTCTCTCTCCCTCTCTCTGTAACGTGCCACGTGCGGCACGACTATCGCCGTTAACACCGCGACATCGTCGCCTTTAACGAGAAAACTAACTTTTCCGCCGCGGAGTTGCTCAAGTCAGACGAGACGCCTATACCAGAGATAATAATACAGACGCTGCATCGATTCCCATCAATGGATTCTTCTCTCTCACGCATACACACACATACAGACACACGTGCACGCAGGCGGGCGCGCACACACACATGCAAACACTTCATCTCAAAACTGCACCTCGCTCGCACACGGGACTGGCTGGATGACGTATCTCTCCATTATCCATGCCTGTCCATCTTGAGATAGTCCGTAGACAGTGGCGCAGTTCAAAGTTGCTGGTGCCGCAAGATAATATATTTTCGCCCACCCGCAATTGTAGAATATTAGACAATATTTCAAAAGATTTTCTTTATGTACTGCATAAAACTAAAGCTTACTTTATTCGTTTCTATACTGATTTTAGTGATTTCACCCGGATATCTTTAAGCTCATTATTTACATAATCTTAGAACAACTTGGGTATATTTACCTAACGTTTAAGAGCGAGAATTTTATTCACGCAAATATGGTTTTTATAGAAAAAACGTTAAGATTGACCGTGTAACGTCATGTTTACTTTTACCTTCACGATAGAATCCGGGGGGAAAACACATCCTCGGTATAGGCACTGTTGACACAGGCGGAGCTTATCTTACTTTCCCTGAAAACGGTCTAACGTTTCACGAAGCAATGAGCCTTCAAGCTTGAAGTAGTACAAACCGCTCGAAAATGCTACAGTTTTGTGGCCGCGGACGGAGGAATAAAGAGCGCGTTGTGGCCGTTATACGTGAACGCGGTGGATTACGCGCGATTCACCGCTCCAGACTCAGGGAATGATATATACGCAACGGAATACCGTAGGGAAGAATACACCGGCCGCATAAATTCGGGGCGCGCGAGTCGCCGCGACGACGACGACGACGCGACGCTAAGCGACATATTTCTCGGGCTCGCGTTGTACCCCCGAAACGGTATTAAAGTATTAAAACGTCCCGGTGAACGTTTCTCGTTCAGTCCCGTCCCGTCCCGTCCCGTCCTGTCCCGCCCGCTCGGAGATCCTCTTGTTTTCGATTCTCCGCGAAATATATGTATCGCGCGCGCATTATATTCAAAACGCGAATGTGAAAACTGCGTTATCATACCGCGAGCGTGAGAATTATTTTATCACGAGCTCCGAAACACGAGGCGCGTGTAATATTCACGCGTACTCCGAAAATTCTCCGTACCTGGGCGATCGCTCCGCGGGAGAACACTGAAATATTAAACTCCGAAGAACGACTTTACTACCCGCGTCTGAATAGCTTGTTTTCGGCTTGATTCAAAAAGTCACATGCATATGCAAGCATCTCGGAAACATAAATATGTATGAAGTATCCTAAAAATGCCGGCTTCGTTTTTAAAGAAAAAATTCTCGATAGGATTGCAGTGGTTGTTCCTCAGAAATCTTGTCACTGCTTGGCTGATTAACTTATAAGATTTTTAATTATTTAAAATTAAATACATAAATCAAAATTAATCTGGAGACTAAGCTTCTTTAAGAACACGTTTATTTGAACGTAAAATCTTTTTATTTGGTGTGACTTAAGTCAATTTTATATGTCGTGATAATTAAATGTCAAATGCAACTTTCAGTAAAACAAAATCCTTCATTAGCGTTTTAATTTAACTTCAGTAATAATGCTCACAATCAGTAATGACGCAATTCTTTAATACGTGGCAATGTATATCTCATTAGTTATATGTCAATTTCTCATTCCGACGTAGCTGTCAATTTACTAAAATTAAGATTATTGGCATACCGTGTCGATATATTCGTACTTCGAAAAATTCTCGATTTTATGTTCTCCGAAACAATATTAAAATATTAAAGTCTCGCGGAAATGTCTTTTTCCGCGTGAATATTTCGTTTTCAGTTCCGGGAAATCGCATTGTGTATGCATACTCGGCTACGAACCGCGTAGAATATATTATTTTATTACGAACTCCCCGATTGCACCGATTGATGTGTTTTTACGCGTTTCAAAATGCAATTTTATTCCTTTGTGCAATTGATAAATCATTGAAAAATGATTGAAAAATGCGTCAATATTTTACCGCGCATCCTATAATTTAAATGTGTTTGTCTTAACTAAGGCAACAAAGCATATTATACCGCTAAAATTATTATCGTGTATTCGTGTTCGTGTGACGCAAAATATTATAAATATCGCAGATCAAAAATTATAATAACGAATGCAAAAGGATGACAGAACATATTATCCAGCTCCATATAAGGAACATAGTAGAAATGGATTTCGAATATTCTTTGCGCGAAACAAATGCGTATATTATGTATACCGTATAACAATCACATCGGAGCCATAAATATCTGCCAAAACTCGTTGGTTGTATAACTACAGATATTGAGAGGTTGTACAACTACAATATAACCAGGATGATGAATGTTTCGAACGAAGATATATACCGATGTTAAAATTTGAAATATAAGTAAATTATGCGTGAAAAGTATATCATAACTGAATCATAATTTATAAGAACTGAATAATTTCAAGTTCAAAAATTCGAGAAATCAAATAAAAAAGCATTATCCTCCGCCCGAAATAAATGCTATTTTGACACAGTTTAAATTTAGAAAAATATATGATGCAAAAAATTAAATACAGTACAAAAGAATAATGCCGAAATTTTCATTAAGAAGAACTGACTTCGAATTGACTAAGCGTTTTCAGAAAAAAGATAGGAGATAATTGCGGGAACTATTCTTCAATAGAATATTGACGTGTTTGTAACAGATATAAAAAAATATCCTGTGAGATAAGATCGCTCGAGTATCGCGGTATCGCTCGAGAGAGAGCGATATTTTACTTCGCTTCGTGTCCAATACCGCGACAAATGTCGGCCATTATTTTCTTTCTTTACACGCCAAAACATACTTTCTAGAACACAATGAATCTTGTTAAGTCACTTTCCGTCGACAACGTAACGTATAATAATATATACACCGCGAAAAAGTTAAAGAGTTCGAAAGTTCCGTATCTTATTAATACATATTAATCCGTATTTCACTGACAACGGAGCATTGCACTTCAGTTTTAATGTATTTGCCAATTTTAATTGGCAAAATGATCGGAGGGAAAAATTGGTTTTAAAAATTCAAAAATTACTTTTCACGTTAACATTTCTTTTCTTAATCGCTTTCTTTCTTTCGACCCGTTAGACGGCTTCGCGCGTCACGCTTAAAATTTCATCATACCCTTCTTTCCCCTCTTCAATTTAGAATTCTCAATGGTGTAGCTAAAGCAGCGGTTCTCAAAATCCACTCGCAGCATCCTCAGATATTGCAAAATTGAAAGAATCTTTGTTGCCACGGGAAATTAACAGAGCGCGCAAAACGCGCCTCCAATTTCTCTCGCACTTTCCTTCGTCTAGGACGTCTTTGAACAATAAAGCAGGCCTTTGCTCCGAAAAAGCCACGCGCCTTGCCGACATCTTTGTGAGCGATCGAACTAAATCCGTTAAAAATGTGAAAATTATGGGCGCCACTCGGCACACACATACGTATGATCGCGAATGAAATTGAATTTTCGTTACGCTCGGTAAAACGGATGGAATCCTAGTTCACAGCGTTGGATTCAATGGGATTCAGCGGGAGTCGAGAGGTTAAGAACCGCTGCTCCAGTGCGATGTTCTCGAACACGCAGACCGGACTCGCTTTCTTTCCGACGCGGTCGCGCAGCATCTAGCTCGGAGTCGAAGCTAAACGGAGCCGGGCTCCCCGACGAATGCAAAATAAAACGGTCCTTTATGCTCCCATAATCGACTCGCAACACTCGCTTCATCCATGAAACCGATATACCTGAGACTGAGAGAATAAAGCAGAAATGAAGAGGTCGGATTTCTCGGAAGCGAGACTCGGACGAGCGGTGGGGCGGGAGGCGGGGACTCGCGGGGGTCGCCCGCAAAGTTGTATTCAAAACAGAAGCCCCAAACTGCCTCTTCGGAATGTCCAAACGGTTTCAACGGTCAAAAGGGACCGGCGAGGTTTAAACTTGATTGATTAACGAACTTGATATCATTCCCGTCACTCCGATAATCCGTTCGGTTTTTCCACGCGAAGCGTGAACTCCGGAGTTTTCACCCGACAGAGCGCCCGCACGTCGATCGTAGGGACAACAATAAACGGGGAAATCGCAAAAACCACGCCTACGCGAAAGACACCCGGCCGTCGCCGTCGAGAATGCGAGTCGTCGAACGAGGAATTTCGGCCGTGGCGCGGCGGCGAGCCAAGCAGGCCCCCAGCACCATGATGGTGGAGGTTAAGTTCTTACCTGTCACGCGTGTTGGCGCCCGTCGGCGGCTTTCGTGTCTCTCCGTGGAACTTCGACGGCGGCCCGCACGTCGCCGACACGCCTGCACATTATCCCTCGGCACGCCACTGAACCCCCGCGATATCCGCCCCGCCGGTGGATGATTATTATATTTCACTTATTCACTTGTTTCCAAACGGGAGGCCCCGTGCCTCCCCGCGCGAGTACGGCACCACGACGACGACGACGCAACGCGAGACGCAACGCGGACGCGCGGGACGCGGGTTAGTCACCACCGAAAACTCAACTCGAGGTATCGAACTGCTCTCCTCCGCACTGCTCTCACGTGATCACACAGCGGCACACTCTCGCGCACGCGTCCTCCCGCACGGAGCGACGATCGTTCGACGAACTGACCCGGACTGTGAATCACGGCCGTACGGCGGCGGCGAAGGGCTCGCGAGCTCGGGCGCGCCGGAGACGGCCGAGCGCGGGCGAGCGCGCCCGAACGCGCGCGAACCTGCACGGACCTGCACGAGCAGGCGCGGCTCCGGTTTTCTCCGTCCGTCCGGTCCGCCGCTCGCGCTGCTCGCGCTTCCCTTCCCCGAGACGACGACGCACCACCGCACCGCGCCACCACGTTACGTTACGTTTTGCCTTCGTGCCTCTTCGAGGGGGTGTCGCGTGACCACGCGAGAAGTCGCGCAACGCGCCGTACACCGTCTGGCACGAAGGCTAACGCTCGTTATCTTTTTGCTCCCGTTTCCGATCGCGAGATTCGCCGTAGGTCACAGCGGGTAGGCAGAGGTAGCGGCGAGAGAAACGCGAGAGGCGCGCGATCGTGCACCGGTGCGCGGTGGCCCTTTCGCCCGATGCTCTTTTCCCCGAAACGTTCAACGCCCTTTTTCTCGCTTCGTTCGGATGTAACGGCGCGAAAAACCTCCGCGGGGGAACGTACTCCGTAATCCTGCAGCGGGATGACGCGCGCGCGATGCGAGCCGCGGTTACAATCGATGACGAGCGAGAAGGTGGTCTCTCCTCCGCGAGCGAGACGACCTTCCTGCGAGCGAGGACGTTTCGCTATTGCAAAACGACGCTTGGGCAACGCGACTCCTTCGCCGAGACTTCTCGAAGCCTATACGTATATTGAGTTTCTCTCCGCGAGGGAATCGGCGCGGGCGCGCCGCGAGCCGCGACTCTTCCTGCTCGGTGCAAAGCGACGGAGACGACGCGTTCTCACGCATTTTTATCGCGCCCGCCGCGCGGGGAAAGCTTCGACTTCAATGGAATTCTCTCTATAGTCGGTGCGCGCGCCGACCGACGCGACGCTACCTTGCGATGGTCGTGCACGCGTCCCCGCGTCCTCGCGGATTGAAATAACACGCGCGAATTGAAACGATGTAATCACGATCGAGCGCGCGCACCGGCTTAAGAAGGCGCTTGGAAGTTTATTGCGCGCTCCGCGCGGCTTGCTCTTTCGCTCCCGACGGCGGAAGCGACAAGCAAATAAATCTTGCGATAACATTAATTATGAAAACAATCGTAAAACAACATCGGCGGAAATTTTTCATTGCCCCACTTTGCGATGAATCTAAGTATTACTTAAGTATTACGTATACGGACTACGTTGCATTTAATATTTATTATTAAGAGAAATAAGAAAACGATAGCTAAAATTGGAACTTTTCCTGATATTTATCATAGCATACCAGCTTGAAACTTTTTTTTATTTGTTTTAATATCTGTACCTTAGAGGTAAATAATCGTATTTCCATTGTTATAAATTTAGAGAAAACAGAGTTTAAGGTTTTAAATAGCGAAATGGTATATGTCTTTTAGATATAAAATAAAAATAGCAATTTGCTTTGTTGAGTTTTTTAAAGTGACTTAACTGACATATTCAATAGTACAACTGTTATTAACTGCATCTGACCTGAAAAACTGGAGATACAATTTTTTATTTATAAAATACAGATACTTAAAATTTGAATTTGATAAATAAGTTCAGCTGAAAAATAAAAAAATAATAGCTAAAACCGGAACTTTTCCTGATACTTCATAAAATATCAGCTTGAAACTTTTTATTTGTTTTAATATCTGTACCTTAGAGGTAAATAATCGTATAAATGTTATAAATTTAGAGAAAACAGAGTTTAAGGTTTTAAATAAGGAAATGATATGTCTTTTAGATATAAAATAAAAATAGCAATTTGTTTTGTTGAGTTTTTAATAAAGTGACTTAACTGACACATTTAATAGTACAAACTGTCACTAACTGCATCTGACCTGAAAAACTGGAGATACAGTTTTTTATTTCTAACAATACAGATACTTAAAATTTGAATTTGGCGTGATAAATAAGGTCAGCTGGAAAATAAAAAAATATTAGCTAAAACTGGAACTTTTCCTAATACTTCATAAAATATCAGCTTAAAACTTTTTATTTGTTTTAATATCTGTACCGTAGAGGTAAATAATCGTATCTCCATTGTTATAAATTTAGAGAAAACAAAGTAAGGTTTTAAATAGGAAAATGATATGTCTTTTAGATATAAAATAAAAATAGCAATTTGCTTTGTTGAGTTTTTAATCAAGTGACTTAACTGACACATTTAATAGTACAACTGTCATTAACTGCATCTGACCTGAAAAACTGGAGATACAATTTTTTATTTCTAACAATACAGATACTTAAAATTTGAATTTGACGTGATAAATAAGTTCAGCTGGAAAATAAAAAAATATTAGCTAAAACCGGAACTTTTCCTGATACTTTATAAAATATCAGCTTAAAACTTTTTATTTGTTTTAATACCTGTATCTTAGAGGTAAAAAATCGTATCTCCGTTATTATAAATTTAGAGAAAACAGAGTTTAAGGTTTTAAAGGCCGGTTGTTCCAACCTGTTGGTAAGCTAACTAACAGTTAAATCATATGTCTATCATTGTCTAATGTAAAAGATAAACAAAGACATATATATGATTTAACTGTTAGTTAGTTTACCAACAGGTTGAAACAACCGGCCCTAAATAGGGAAGCTACTTTCGCGCAAAATCTGTTCGAGATTCGCCATTCGATGAACGATCCCGAATGCTGGCCAGCCATGCTCTTCAGATTCGACAATGCGGATATTTCAAGAACGCGCGATCGATCGTGGTCTCGACCACTTAGGACAGGTCACTACGCGCGGCTGCTAGTCGCTCGCCCGCGTACACCTTATCCGTTCCGTAATGTGTAACGTCGCATTAATGGTGTCCAGGTGTTACGCGATACGGACGACGAAATAGGATAGTTTCCTCGTCAACGGGCGAGAAGCGTTGCGCGGCACCGGCGTAACGTGAACATCGAGCAATTCCGCAAGTTCGCTCGCTCGCGCATGAAGCGAAGGAATATCGTTTTTCGTCAAGCTCTTCCGCCCTGCCGGGACCGAACGACTGTCGCGAGGTGGTTCGCGCGGCGCGGTGGCTCGAAATCCGAGCCAGTGAGTACTGTTACGCGTATTTGCATCGATGCAGAAAGACGTTGTTCCATGCAGTGATATTGAGCTAATCGCCGGAGCTTCGGGTTTAGAATTTTTCCAATCAGAATACTGAATAATAAAAATTATAGGAATAATAACAAAAAGGAAAATTATTGGACTAGAAAAATATAGCTTATGTTTTTAATAAATAAGATAATATTCCATTATATCTGACGAGACGAGATATAGAAGCAAGAAAGAAACTATGTTAAAAGTTTCAAGTGCCAAAAATAAAACAAAAATCTGCAAAATTTTCAACCTTAGCACAGTAAAATTATTATATCTATTGATCAAGTTTATTTTAAAAATAACTCCGATCTATATCATTCTCAAAGTTTCGCATATAGCAATCCTGAAATATTGTTATTTAATTAATAGATTCATAAACATTTAATAAATTTAAGAATTGTTGAGTAAAGCACTAAATATGATGATTCTATAAAAAGAATGTCTGATATATAGTTTCACGGTTCCCTCGTTAAGCGAAATATTTGGCACAAGGCTCATTACGATGATGAAAGCACGCTATGAGTCGTATTATCGTGACATCCGCCTCATCCGCTGCAGTTGATAAGACGGGATAGGCCCACGCCACCCACGCCAGTCAGAACGAAAGTTAGCCCACTCATTCTTTCGAGCAAGTCGAGTCCACAACGGCGCAATTGCTTACAAGGAGATTCAAAATGATGCCAGGCGCACGATCTACGCGTATAAAATAGCTAAACTATCGCCCAGATATCAACCCACTCAGATGTCCAGAAATGTTCGTATTCTTTTTTATTCTGTCCACTGTGTGTTGCTGAATGATATAAACACATATCTAAGATAACTTCCGCTTGATACTATCACAAATATTTTCATATACTTTTCGCATGAATAAAATAAAAGACCAAAATAGTAGCTCTGAATATCTTGTATAAATTATCTTTCTTTTTTATATCACAAACATCTTTGTACGAATTTTGCACGAATAATACGAAAAACCAAAATAGTAGCTCCGAATATTTTGTGTAGATTGTCATTGCTGCCACGGCGATTTCGTGTTGCCGAAACGCGTTTCTGATCTCTATAAGGATCTGACGCACGTAACGCGGAGTCATTCGCATCTACGCGCGCAGACAAAAGACCAAAAATAAAAATCTCACGTCACGAAGTTAACACAACACAAGTTTACGAGCACGCTGAAATTCCTTCTGCGTTTTACGATTATACGCGTCAGTCAATGTAGAGTAAAACGTCACGGACCCTAATCCTTATCGTCGGAAATATCTTTTCTCATTTCAAATGCGCGACACCTCGAATCTTAATCGTCGATCGGTTACAAGTTCGTGCAAGTTTAGCATGAGGCTACCTGTACACGTCGGATCAAAGGAAACCTGGAAGAGCGGAGCTTGTTCAGCGAAAGAGAAAGGAGTGTGAAAGACGGACAGAGGAGCGAGAAAGAGACAAAGAAGAGGCGAGAGGTGAGTAACGAGAGACAGAGACCGAGACAGAGACAGAAAGAGAAAGAGAGAGAGAGAGAGAGCCGCTACAGGATAGGTAAGAGAGATACGGTCGTTGGCCGGTTCGGGCAAGGCTGCTGGCAAGGAGAACCAGGGCTGTAGTCACAAATAAAGAAGACGGGCACCTCTATCGACACCACTGCTATAATAACGGGGCGCGCACGAGAAAAGATGCGAATCGTTCTCTCTCCGTCCGTCCCACCTCACCGAAGGGCCTTAAAAACCGGTGCGCTACTTATAAACCAGTTCCAGATTTAAAAAAAAGCACCCGGCGCTATCGCGCGTGATTCTCGCGAAAATAAAGCGTTATCTCAGCAAGCTCGTTCCATCATCCAAAAATTATAATCGGATTCATCACAATACGATTAATGGGATTTACAGTATCTACGTAGAAAGTACGATGTA